GCTCTGTGCCGCAGTTTTCCAGCGGGAACGGCAGAGCTTTGTTCCCGGGGCTGCAGGGATATTTGGGGTGCTGGGGGGGATTTTGCAGTGGGCAGCTGCACTGACAACAGAAGAGCTGCAAAGGGTTCAAGTGGAGCTGCCTCACCTCACCACGAGGGAAGGCTGAGAGGAATTACAAGGAAATACCATGTGCATCCAACAATTATTCCTGACAATTAGAAGTGAACTGTTAATTCTTCATTAGCAATGATGTGGGTCTTGATGCTGGTCAGGACACACCAATACAAGTGAATACCAATGGCCTTTTGAAAGGTCTCCCCAAATTTGATGCTTTTACAAGAAAGAGATATTTAATCACCTAATGAGAACAGTAATGGTTTCTTGGGGGTTCATTCCAGGTTCAATTAAAACTCTTTGATGTGAGCAGACTGGAGCTGCCACATCAGGACTGAGACCCTTGGAATCTTTACTGCTGGTTACTGACACGAAGCTGGTTAAAGAGAGACATTTTCACTGCTCAAAGTCCCAAACTGACCAAAAGGGAAAAGGAAAAAAGAAAATGAAGCCCAAAATAAAAATAAGCAGCTTTGTTGGTAGAGTCTGTACATTTTAACAGGGATTTTTGTACTTTTTTTTTTTTTTTTTTTTTTTTTTTAATTTCTCATGCTGGGGCAGGGACAAGGGCTTGTTGTAAATGCACAAGCTCCCCCCAACCCTGGCACATCTCCACAAGCCTCAGGGCAGCTGTGGTTACTTTTTTTTTTTTTTTTTTTTTTTTTTTAATTTCTTATGCTGGGGCAGGGACAAGGGCTTGTTCTAAGTGCACAAGCTCCCCCCAACCCTGGCACGTCTCCACGAGCCTCAGGGCAGCTGTGGTTACATCCCACCCCACGGTGGCCCTGGCCTTGTCACAGTGTATTTGAGGAATGTTTGCTCCTTCTTTCCTCCTCGCCCTTTCCTCGTCCCCTCCGCTCAACCAGCCAAGCACCAGCACCAAAAGCTTTTCACCTCTACATTCTGCTGGCCACCAGCTCGTGGTGGAAAAGCCAAAGGCACCCAGAAACCTGCAAATAAATCAGCAAATAAGCACGGATTCATTTCCCTGGCTATGTTGATCCCTGCCATAGGCTCAGGGCTGGTGTGATGCCACCTGTAATTACTCAGGACCAGTTTTCTGCCCATTTCTGCTGCTGTGGATCCAAACCAGCTGCTGGAGAGTCCAGAAGTGACAAGAGTCCAATCCCAGCCTGGCTCTGGCCTCTCATCCTTTATCAAAAGCTATTTGCAAAGCTCAGAGTTTGAAGATGCAGTGGCAAGACCCTGTCCAGGGTGAGGACAGGGAGCCCTTCCCAACCAAACACCCAGCAGCCCTCTCCAGGCAGCTCCAGCTCCAACCTGGGGGACTCTGTGGACATCAGAGGACATCTGCAAATTTCCAACCAGCCAAAGACCCCGTGCTTTGCAGGACTGCCACTGTCCCCTTGTCTCAGCTGAAAAGCACAATCATTAAATCAGAGACTTTCAGAGCCCTCAGTTTTACAGAGATACAGAATTCCAGGTGGAGGAGGCCTCCCAGTACATCCAGCACCAGGAAACACGGAGCACTGGATGTACTCTGGTTGCTCTGTGTCCTTCTGGTGGTGCCCAGGAGGTGGAGAGGGGCTGCTGGGCTCTTTTCACCAAGTTTTGGATCCTCAGTGAATACACAGAGCATCCACCAGCTGGAAACCCCATTTGGCTTTTGGTGGTTCCCTCACCATTGGTGCCTCATCCACATGGGATTCCATTACATTCATGGGAGCTGCTCCCTCTTTATGGCAGCAGAACCCCATCCTAAAGCCCTGAATTCCATCCTAAACATGTCCCAAAGCCAGCCCCAAGCACCAGGACGTTCCCACCCTGCACACAGCAAGGCTGCCTCAGTGAGTGATTTCAGGTTTTAAATCAACTTTCCTGGAGCTCAGCATGGGGAGGCTCCGAAATCCATCACCCCCCCAATGTCCAACATTGCCACTCCAAATTTTCCCAGTAAAAGGTTTTCTCTGTGGGAAACAAAACCAAAACAAAGCCAAAGCACTGCAGCAAACAAAGGTACAGTAAAATGGCCAGAGGTTTCCAAAGGCAACGCGTGGCAGGTGAACCTAAACCTCTCTATCCTCTTCTTCACTTCCCCTCGTTTCCTCTGATAAAACAGGAGAGGAAGAACAGCAAAAACAACACCTGGAAATTGCACTAGTTTTATTTAGGGGAATGACTGCAAAAATGCCAATTTATCAAAATGGGGGTTTTTTTAGAGGAGATTTCTTAAGACTTTTCCTGAAACCTAACAAGTGTTTTTAGCAGCTTCCACGGGCAGCTTTAACATCCCAGAGAGAGAGGTGCTAGACCGTCAAACAAAAAGAAATTAGATCCTTATTTTACAGTAATTCTGAGCATGGAACAGCTCGTGCCTCATCCTGGTGCTGACTGTGAGCTGGGTCGGGGCACTCAGGGACCAGAACTCAGAGTTTGCCTTGCCAAAGGGGCTCAAATGTGCCTGGGTGACCCCCAGTGTCCCAGGGAGGACACCCTCTCTGCTCTTAACCTCACCCTGGCAGGGGCTGTGTCCTCAGCTTTAGCTCCTCGCATCCCAAATCTTTCTCCTCTTGCTGTGGAGAAAATTTTCATTGATCCTCATTTGACTTTGGTGAAGTTTACCAGCGCATCCCTCAAACTGAGACACATTTTATGTAAGCAACTAAACTCCAAAAAGAACATTGTTAAAATCAAGCTCTTCAGCAACAGGGAATTTACTGGAAAGCCAAGAAAATGCAACTTATTTTGTGCCAAGGTTTCTCTGGAGCTGATTAGTTGAACTACCTTTCATCTAAAGATACAAAATGGGCTGCCCAGAGAAACAAATCCTGACTTCTAGCTAGGGTGGTTGTATAAAAACATTTCAAATGTTCACAATGTTTCAAAAAGGGTTTAAGCTATTATGTTTTCACACTGAGGAACTGCAGGGACCTGGCTGCACTTAAGAAACCAGAAGAAACAGAATGAGTAAAGTGTTTGTATAAATATTAGTCTTACATATATATTTACTTTAAAACTTACATTGATTCCACATTGTGCCAACTGCCCATTCTCCAAGGTATTCATCAGAGAAAGGAAAGGAAAAAAACCCCAAAACCACAAAACATAAAAACTCCAAGACTGGCCACCTCTCACAGGCAGACAATAAGTCCAAGCCCCAGGCACACTTGGGAACCTCAGAGCTTTCTCTTGTGCACTTAGCTCCGAGGAGCGAGAGATTCATTGCCAGATCCAGGGACAAAACCCACCTGGATCTGTCTGTACCCAGCCAGAAAGTGACTTTGTACCCTCTGCAGCCACACAAAGCAAGAACATTTCTTCCACTATCACAGACTCACAGAATGTTACAGGTTGGGAGGGACCTCAAAGCCCACCCAGTGCCACCCCTGCCATGGCAAGGACACCTTTCCCCGTCCCAGGCTGCTCCAGCCTGGCCTTGGGCACTGCCAGGATCCAGGGGCAGCCACAGCTGCTCTGGGCACCCTGTGCCAGGGCCTGCCCACCCTCACAGGGAACAATTCCTGCCCAATATCCCACCCATCCCTGCCCCCTGGCAGTGGGAGCTGTTCCCTGTGTCCTGTCACTGCTCACCTTTGCCCAAATCCCTCTCCAACATCACAACAATTTCTCTACAGCAAAGCAGAACATTTGGGTACCAGACCCAGCTGCTGGAGGGTCTCCCAAGCCCCCCCTGCCAGGAGCCCGGACAGCACACCCCCTGTGCCCTGAGCCACCCTGGATGTCCCACCCCAGCCCTGCCCCCTCTCCGGGGGTTGTTGGGCTCTCCCTTCCTTGATCAGTGAATGCACGATTCCACCTCCGGGCCAAAAGAAAGCCCAGGATAAAGGACACTTCATCACGGCCTCACTGACACCACAAAGCACATCACACAGCACGGGAATGTCGGGGCTGGCGCTTCTCTGACGAAGCGAGGTAAAGTGGCAGCATCAGCAATGACACGTGTGGTGACAGAGGCTTCTCTCTCGGGGACTCCAGCAAGCCCGGACCCCTCTTTGGATGAAAACCCCACCCCCTGTAAACAACTCGCGTGGAAGAGGGGAAAGCAGCGCCCCACTGCCCCGCTGGACAAGGAGAGCCCTTCCTTGGCCTCCCAGACTTTGGGGTGCAGGGCACCCCCGCTGCCCTCACCTCGCCAGCGCTGCCCCAGTCACATTTTCGGGGGGAGGTGGGGGGGAAAGAGGGAAAGATCCCCTGGGTGCCCCCACCCCTGCGACAGCCCGAACAAGCCACACCTGAAGTGTCTTTCAGCCGCAGGTTCTCAAAGTGCTCCTCCAGCCCCCGGGCACGGGCAGCCCCCGGGCCCCTCCGCCCCGCGCGGCCCCCCGGCCCGAGCTCTCCTCCCCCATTATTGCATAGCATCGCAGGCCCTGATTTCGGGGGATGGGCACAGCCCCCCCACGCGTGGGGACCAGCCCCGCCGGGGGGGACGCGACACCTCCCTGCCCGCCCCCCGCTCCTGTGGCCTTCCCATGGGATGAGCCCCGAGGCGTGAGACCCCCCGGATGGGGCCCGCTGCTCCCCTGGCTCCTTACCCCGAGAGCAGACAAACGCCATCGTGCGAGGATCCCTTTGCTTTGCTTTGTCTTTTTTTTTTTTTCTTTCTTTTTTCTTTTTTTTTTCTTTTCTTTTTTTTTGGTGTTTTGTGTTTTTAAATAAAAAATAAAATGTGTAAGAAAATAACATTTCTAAAGGAAACCATTATCATTCTACTCTCTCTCTTTCCTTTTCTCTTTTGCTATTTTTTTTCTCTCTCTCTCTCTCTCTCTCTCTTTTTGGCCATCTTTCCATGGAACGAGATGTGCTGACCGGGGAGGGGACTCCTCCCGGTAGGAGACAATAACGACAGAGGGGAAAAAGAGAAGGAGCAGGAGAGCCAGGGAGCACCTCTGGCTCTTGCTCAGTCCTCACACGTCGCTGGATGTCCTTGGTCTGGAGGAGAACGTGGAAGGGATGCACCCGCAGCAGGCCAGCCAGAGCGACTTCTGGATGTCCGGGTTTCTGAAGGCGTAAATGATGGGGTTGATGAGCGAGTTGCAGGTGGCGGGCAGCGCCAGCGAGTAGGTGTACACCGCGGGGTAGCTGGAATCGGCCACCAGCGAGTAGATGGCGAAGGGGATCCAGCACAGGGCGAAGGTGCCGAGGATGAGCGACAGCGTGGAGAGCCCTTTGCGGGTGGAGGTGGCCTGCGCCGTGGCGATGAACTGGTGCTGCACGGCGATCTGCTGGGCGTGCCGGAAGGCGATCTTGCAGATCTGCAGGTAGAGCTGCATCATGAGGGCGAAGAGGAGCAGGAAGGTGACGGCCAGCACGGCCGCGTTGTCCTTGGTGACGGGCCGCAGGATGCTGCAGGAGCTCTGGTCCCGCAGGCAGTTCCAGCCCAGGAGGGGCAGCAGCCCCACGCCCAGGCACAGCAGCCACATCAGCAGCACCATGGCGCAGGTGAAGCCCAGCGTGCGCTCGCTGTGGTAGGTGAGCGCGTTGTACAGCGACAGGTAGCGGTCCACGGTGATGGCCAGGAGGCTGCAGACGGAGGCGGAGAAGGCGGCCAGCAGCAGCCCCGCCGCCGCCAGCTCCGCCGCCTCGCTGGGCGGCCGCAGCAGGTAGCGCACGGCGAAGTTGGCCACCAGCCCCAGCCCGGCCAGCAGGTCGGCCAGCGCCAGGCTGCCGATCAGCAGGAACATGGGCGCCCGCAGGCTCGGCGTGTAGAACAGCACGGCCAGCACCAGCGCGTTCTCGCCCGCCACCGCCGTGCCCGTGGCGCACAGCGCGATGTCCCAGGGGCTCACGGACCCCGCGGCCGCGGCCCCGCCGCCCGGCGCCGCCGTGCCCGGCCCGGCCGCCGCCGCCGAGGGCCAGGCGGGGGGTTCCGAGGCGTTGCCGAGCCCCGGGAGCCGCTGCTGCTGCGGCTGCGGCGGCCACGGCTCCCCCATGGCGGCGGGGCCGTGCAGCATCGCTGGGGAGAGAGGGAGAAGGGGGCGGTGAGGGACGGAGCCCGAGCCCCCGGAGAACCGCCGAGCCCCGAGCCCAGCCCGGGCAGCGCCGCGCCGAGCCCGCACCTCGACCCTCGCCCGGAGCCGCGCCGAGCCGGGCGAGACCCTCGCCGAGCCCGCCCCGCGTTCCGGAGCCCCCCGCCCCGGGACACCGCGCCCCGCACCGGGCCGCCCCCGCCCGCCGCATCCCCGCCCGCTCCCCGCCAGCCCGACTGCAGCTTCCCTGGGATCGAGCCTCCCATCCCCGGCTCGCCGCCCCCCGCCCCGCACGCACCCCTGGCCGCTATCTCCCGCCGGGCTGAGGCCGAGCACAGCTCATCACCCCGCTGCCCGCAGCCGCCTCCGTGCGCTCGGCTCCGTGCAGGGTCCGCAGCCACTGCGCACCCGGTGAGGAACCGGCCGCCCCCTCCTCCTCCCCTCCCCGGGGCACGGCCACCTTTGCTACCTATTTATAGCGCAACCCCTCAGCCCCCCCCTCCCGCAGCCCTTTCTTTTTTGCGTGCAGTGAGTAAAAATAAACACTATTAATAGGCCAGCGCCTGTATGCGGAGCCGCTGATGGAAGGAGAAGGCAGCGGCAAGGAACAGCCTACGTTAAGTTTCTCCTTCCTCCCCGCCTTTCCCCCCTTTGGAAAAGGCTGGTGCGAGATGCTCCCGGCCGGCGGCAGCGTCCTGCCGTGCCCGGAGGAGTGAATCCCCCCGCCCGGGGTGGGCAGCCAGCCGAGGTGTGAAGGTCGGGGCTGTGCCCGCAGCCCGCTGCCATCCCCCGCCGCCACCATCGCCCCTTCCCGCATGCAGCCGCGACGCCGGGGGTTGTTGTTTTACCTGGTTTTAATGCTCGAGGATCAGCTTGCTCCCCCCACCCCGTTTTTATTTTTTTCCTTGCCGGTCCTTCCAGCCCTTGGTGCGAAGCCTCATTCCTCGGCGAGCATCGCTAATAGCGTTGGCAGAGAGCTGGCATCGACTTGCACTTAATATTCCTGCCCCATTGGATCTGCTGATAAATCTCAACTCTGACGTCAAAGTCTTCACTTATATTCATGATCCAAGTCTGTGAATCAGAGCCGCTGTGATCAGAATAACAACAAGGCTGGCTCCCCGCTCCACATCCCCTTCCACACCCGCAGGCACGCGGGGGGTGCCGCGCCCGCCCCGCCGATCGTTCATTCATCAGCCTCAGCCTCCCGCCGCCCCGACGCACCTCCCCAAGGTCGGGCCCGCTGCACCTGCGTCCTGCGGATGCAGCTTGGGCACCGGCCAGGCCCGGGCGGCTGGCAGGGTTTATTTTTACCGCTTGTGCCGAGGGACGCGGGGATGCGAAGGGAGGGCGGCGATCCGGCGTGGCGCGGCTCCGGTGCCGCGCTCCTCAAGGACAATGTCCAGGACAGCGGCGCCGCGACGCGGCGGCTGAGGCTGCTCGGGGATCCTGTGCGGCCAGCCTGGGCCAGGGGCATCCCTCCACAGGGAAACACCGCACCCCGCAGCCTTCGCCCCACACGGGCTTCCCTCCAGCCAGCGAAAAGCTGGGATGAGGAGGAGCTCGCCGGAATGGGGACCTGCCCAAGGACGCCGAGTGTGGGATCTGTCCCCCTCACCGCAGCACCCACCCATCCCCAGAGCTTCCTCCCCGACTGTTTGGGAAAGGAACAGCCTGGAAAGGAACAAATCCCAAAGACACGATTATTTTCCCAGCTATAAATGGCTCCGTGATTCATCTTGGGAGCAGGATCATCAAAGCAGGGATGCTCAGCTCCTGGATCCACAGGATTTCAGCTACACCTTCTCCCTTTTTTCCTACTCGTTTCATAACACTCCAGCTTCCCTCTTTCATCCCCCTCTCTCTTCCAGGCTGGAGCAGCCAGCTCAGCGCTGGGAAGGATTTCCAGCTCCTGATGTGCAGAGATATTTAGGTGAATAGCAGTGATTCTGGCTGAACCCAACCGCCCCAATTTGGAGCATCTGTGTTGCTAATCGGGCCAAGCCCCATCCCAGGGACGTGAATCGTCATTTACCTGGGGCCGCGTGACCGAGCGCCGGGCGGCAGCACAAGGGGCGGAGGAAAGGCGAGCGAGAGCTGAATGAATTCGCTCCCGCTCCCGGGAATTACGCACGGCCCGGGGAAGGGGAGGCGGCGGAGCAGGGACGCGCCGCAGGCAGCGCTGGCGGCGCTGGGGATGCGCCGGCCGGGCGTGGCGGTCTGTGCGGTCTGAGCCCAGCCAGGACGGGCCACCAGCGCTGCGGGGCTGAGCAGGGATGTCCCCGCTGTCCCCAGCCCGCGGGCAGCAGGGCTGAGCGAGGATGGGCACACGCAGCACACGGCAGTGACCCGGCCCGGCCCTTGTCCCCTGGAGCTGCCCCTGGCAGGGACACGCGCGCTCCAGAGGGTCCCGGCTGATCCCAAACCCCTTGGGCTCGCTGCAGCTGCCTTGGCCCTCCTGCTCCGTGCAGCGTCCCACCCTTCCTGCCCTCTCCCTGCCGAGCCCCTCAAACACCCGGCACTCCCACGGCAGCCCCTTCCTTCCCACCTCCAGCTCCTCCCCTCGACATCCCACCACAAGTTTGCCACAATCCTGGGATGTTTTTCCTGTGTCCTACAGGAACACCAGTCCCTGGCAGGTGTTACTCCTCTTGGCTCCAGAAGTGCCCCTTTCCGTACACACATCCCAGTGGATTTCAGCCACTGCTGGGAGCTGCTTGTCCCCCTGCACAGGGAAGAGCAGCCCCGTGTCTCCAATGAGATTTTTTGGGGTTTCACCTGTGCAAGGGGGTGCAGTGCATTGGCAAAGCACCCGCTGGGGTACCCCAAGAATGCTGAGATTTTCTGGCGACAAAAATGGCATTATCTGGCCCCTTTTAAACCAGGGCTTGCTGTCCCCAGAGCAGCCCTGCTGCACATGAGGACAGGCCACTGCACACCCTGTTTTCAAGGCTTGAGAGTCTACTTTTTGAAGTTGTATTTAACGTTCTGAGCTCCCTGAGTAGCTGCAAGATCATTCTGAGAATATTCCTACATTAGACATAGGAGTTTATCCATATTTAAATTACAGACTCAATAGAGAGGAGCAAAGATCAAAGCTAAGCAAAGACACAAGCCTGATCTGTAATTACAGAGCAAGAGGCCACCAGCCTCACCTGAGAATGCTGTTCAGCATGGAAAAAGTCTCCCACCTTCATTCCTCATCATCCTCCTTGGATTTTGGCCCTTGGGAAAAAGCTCAGTGCTGGACAAGGCAGGTTTTCCTGTGGCACTGCCCTGTGGGGGTGCTGGGTGCTCCCAGCCCACAGCAGGGCTTGACCTGGAGCTCATCCTCCCTTAGAATTTGTGCTTTTTTGCTTAAAACAAGTGGGTGGCAAGTTAAAACCGGGGTGGCAATCGCTAATGACGTGGTGTCCCAGGCCCAGCCCACTGGGAACCAAAGCTGGAACAAGAGCTGCTGTTCAAGGGCACACTGGTGGTACACAGGGATAACCACAACTCCAATTCTCCATCATTTTTACCTCCACAAGTATTAAAATCAGCTTTACATCTTTTCTTCGGGTAAACGTCATCACCTCCCAGCATCCCATCAGCTTTACCCACCCCAGCTCCCACTCCTCTGGGAGCATCCTGTGGCTGAGCTGACAAATCCAGGAGCTCCCTGCCTTGTGCCAGGCTCAGAGCCACGCTGCTGGAACATTCCCCCACATTTCATTTCTCCCGGCGTCTTTTCCGCAGCGAGCGGATCCAGCCTCATTCCAGCACCTCCGCTGTTCCCTGTTACTCCAACGGCTTGAGGAGCTCTGAGCAGGAAAAGCTCAGCTATAATTAGCAGTGCTGACTAATCAGGGTGGCAAACAAGCTCTCGGAGCCCGTCAGCCTCCCCAAAACGGGGCCGTCGGGGGCTGCGCTGCTGGGAGCCCTACATTCAAAGGCTTTGCATAATTTGCGGTGGAAACGAGGCCATTTTCTCACTGCTGCCACTGGAAAGATGGGAATTCTCCTAGAGCTGCTCCAGCTGCAGCATCCCAGCCTGGTGGGAAGAACCAGGGCTCCGTGGTGGGTTCGGGTGGTTGAGGTGCCGGTGCCAAAGGCAGGCACTGGAGGAGCTGGAGGGTGCCAGGCAGGAGTGTGGCTGGTAAAATGACCCACCTCTGTGGAAAAGCAGCTGATTTGCCTGAAGATCCTCTCTCCAGGCAGCTGGAGTGGGCCCCTTCCAGGTCCTGGCTTGCAAGGGTGACCTCTGCCACCCTCCTGCAGCAGCACTGCTGCAACCCTGACTTCACCTCTTGGAGAGGCACTTTGGCTCTCCCAGCAGCAGGGAAAACCTTCCTGCCCCATTTCCTCTGGGCTGTTCAGCCTGGGGACAGTGGGGACACCATGTCCCACTGCTCTGTTGCTGTTACACATGCAGGGAACATTCCCCACTTGGGGGGACAGTGCCTGGCTGTGCCAGCAGGGAAGGAGCGATCCCAAGGCTCACTCCCACGTCTCCTCCTGATTGCCACCAAACAAACACTCAGGCCAAGCCAGGGGGAGGATTTTTGCTCCTTCCATCAGTGATATCATCCCCACACAAATGGTTTTGCTCCAAGTCCTTTCCTGAGCCAGAGGGACATGTTTTGGAGCACCTTTGCTGGCACATGCCGTGTCACCATATGTCACTGAGCAGGGCTTCTGGGGAAAGGGTTTTTTTTCCCAAAATTAAGGGTTTTGCACTGTGTTTTACTCCTTCTCCCAAGCTGTATGTGCTGCTCTGGCTGGGTGCCTCATCAGGAGTGACTGTTTCCCTAAACTGCCATTCAGCTATAGGGAACACTGGGAGCATGCAGAATATGAGGCAAAATATGAGTGTGATAATTAATAATTAACAATAACCCAATTTACCTGATGTGGCATGGAGGTAAGGAAGGTTTTCTAGGAGTTTGGATGGGGAAAAATAGGAAAGATCCTTAAGAGAAATAGAAAAGCTGGAGGTTTTTGCA